GATGAGATAGAAGGTAGGTATATTCGAGAAAAAGTTGCGCTAGGTTTTTATCTTTCCAACGAATTATTTGGTTTCATGAAATTCGAAAAAATACGAGTTTTAGAGTCGTTTAAAAAAAAGGTGACCAAATTACGCTATACTCCCCTACTTAAAACATATATATTCTAAGATCACGTATTATTAATACATTTTTCTTCTTTCTGTTTCTAGGTAAGTGCATATCCCTGTTCGTTGTATTTTCGGAAAAGCCCATTTAATATTTTTCTACAAACTCCGCTCTAATGTAAGTAACCGCAAATGCGAAATTATATAACATACGCATCGAAGTTAACAAAGTCTTTCTAGACATTTAAAAAAAATTAATACGTCTTATATCATCTTACAATTAACTTCATTTGACCTATTAAGTTTATTTTGTTGCGAAATAATGAAAAGTCAATAGAATAATTTTACTATGAAATTACATTTATACCGGAACTACATTCTTTTCTAAGTTCGAAGTTCATCGCATGTTTTAAAATCCAGCTCGATGATTGTATACGTGACAGAATCGATTTTGCCAAAGTAACGGGAAGATAATTGTTGGTGCTTAATTGATACATTTTATTAGTTAGACATAATAAAGTAAGAAATTAAATAAACAAGGAATTTTGATATACACTGTTGTAACATTGCTGATTGCCCATCTTCTAAATGGATTTGAGAGAAATGTATCATTATATATTTTTAGAACAATCGTGTGAGTAATTTTATCTTTTTAAGTTTATGTTAGTATAGTTTCTAATATAATATTAGAAAAATTTACTACGAATTCTTAAAAAAAAACTTTTATATTAGATTAATTGCAATTATAATCTTTGTTAATAGTAATTTAATATCGTTATAAAGTTTTCAAATAAAAATAATGTTTGTATTTTATTTGTAAAATCTAATAAATATGTATGTGTGTGTACACTGAGAATTTTATTAACACACACACTGACATTTTAAAGAATTAACTTGAAAAATTCTGAAAATTTAGGAAAAGAATTTTTGAAAAGAATTTAGAAGTTCTTTGCTGTTGCGTTGTTTCTTTATCTATCTGAAATTCCAAAGCGTCTTTAAGTGAAGCTACCATTAGCTATGATCATTTGATCAGAAATGCTTTTGTGCTTATGCATTAATAATAATTCGACATTAATAACATGACATTTAATGTCTTTTACTAAAAGATTGTGAAGTGTAAAAAATGGGATGCCGTTGTTTTTATATTATTATTACAAGCTATGTATCAAATAAAATATGTATAATAAAATGGAACCCAAGTTGTACTTTAATTAATGTTAATTAATAAAACATATTAGAACATAATATTATTTACTTCATTACAATTAAAACTGATTAGATACATAGTGTTGCGCTCGTGCTTCGCGGTGTCGGTCGAGCATGAATTGCGCCGACTGAAATCGTCCGCGGAGCGCGGAAGCGGACAAGAGAGAGTTGCTCTCTTAACAACGTTGTTGTTTGGCGGGAGTCTGAGAATGAGACTGACGTACGCTGATTGACGTCGAGTGTATTTCCAGAGTTTAATAAAGTTGCAGTTCTTTTATAAACGAGTGTGTTGTTCCTTTCGCGTGCGAGCTCGCGAGTGTCACCTGCATCTTCGCCGTGAGCGCGAGTGTAGCGTAACATTGGCTGCGTTTAGCAGAGAAAACAGCTTTGCAACTGTTGTGAGATTCTTCAACATGATTGGCTCTTGCCTTCAGTTCTTTACGGATCTAACTGTATAAACCAATCATATTAAAGAATTTTACAACAGTTGCAAAGCCGCTTTTTCTGCTGAACGCAGCCATTTTGGGAGGTCGTTCAGGATCCAATGAACGAGCGGACAGACGAGCAAATAGAACGAACGAGCCCCCAAAATATTACGCTCGCGTTCTCTGCTACACTCGCGCTCACGGTGAAGACGGTGACACTCGCGAGCTCGCGCGGAAAGAAATAACACATTCGTTTATAAAAGAATTGCAACTTTATTAAACTCCGGAAATACACTCGACGTCAATCTCACGTCAATCAGCGTACGTCAGTCTCACTCTCAGAGTCCCGCCAAACAACAACGTTGCTAAGGGAGCAACTCTCTCTTGTCCGCTTCCGCGGACGATTTCAGTCGGCGCAACTCATGCTCGGCCGACACCACGAAGCACGGGCACAACAATATAATTAGAAATAAAGGAATGAGCTTAATTCTTATTTAATAAAAGTATTATTTTGTGTTCCTTAATTACATTTATATTAATATTTATATATTTTACCTTAATGTTCGTTTAGCTAAAAAGAAATTAAAAACTTTGTAAAAAAGTAACACCATATGTTTAAATTTTTCACGTTTTTTGGAAAACTATTCTTAAAACATGGCGGCCTGTCAATGGACGGAAATTTAATGGATATTGAAACATCAGCAATATCCTTGTATACATATCAGCGGAAAATCCGCTAAAAATGTATTAAAAACCGATCATGCAGAAAATGGTTTTATATTACTTCAAAAATTATATTTTTGCAGATCCACTAACTCGCGAATGGCCGCTTTTTTCTTCGCCGTGGCCACTAATGTTAATAACTCTTGGATATATATATTTTGTTCTTTATGCTGGACCTCGCTACATGAAAGATCGACCGCCATATGAATTAAAAACTTTTATACTAATATATAACATGATTCAAATTCTAGCAAACTTATGGTTTGTAAAAGAGCATATATCTCTCGGTTGGTTTTCAGAATTTAGTATAATATGCGGACAACGTGATGAAGTTCTTATGCACTCCAAAACTAATGTGATTAAAGTAAGTTTTTTAAATGTAATAATTATCGTAAGGATTGTTGATAAATTATAATTCTCGTAGAATAGAAAAACAGTATTATTAAATGTGAATTTAATTTCTGACTCGCAATTATATCATTTTTAAATATTCATTTCAAAAGTTACATTAATAACCATTTGTAAATTTTAATTAACCCAATAAGAACAATTAATTTAAATATTTAAATTATATATAATTATAAATTAATTACAGAACAATTAATTTAAATAATCTGTTTTTTTATTTATTATTTATTTAGATCTGATATATTCAGATATTTGATATTTTAAAAAGATTATTTTACAATTAATCAATAGTCTTTAATCAATAAATATTCATTTAAGGGAGCACCTTATCTTGACGTATGTTATCAAGGTCATAACCTTCAAAATGACCTTCAAAAGATTTTAATCGCTCGTTATTCTTAAACAACACGAGACGTCCTCAGGATTATCCTGAGTATGTCCCAGGACGTCCTGGGACATTTTAAGGATATTTATATATCCACAGGATGTTTTGGGGATGTCCTTAGATTTTTAGAACAGCCTCAGTTCAGTCTCAGGACATTCTGGCGATAGTCTGAGGACGTTCTGGGAACAACCTCAAACAGTCCTGGGGATATTCTTGTAGAACAGTTTTAGGATTTCCACAAGATATATTTTATATAAATTTCTTTCGTGTGTGTGTGTGTGTGTGTGTGTGTGCGTGCGCGCGTGCAAAAATTTCATAAATTTTGTTCTATTTTTTGCTGCGATAATTTTCTGTAAATCAACTTTTTATTTTATAATTGGTTTTACTAAATGTTCAATAGTTACAAAAAATTTTAGTATAATTTAAATCTTCTCTATAAATAATATTGTTATAAAGAAACTGTTTTACCTAAATTTTTTAAAAGAAGAATAGAATAGAATTAAATTAAAAATAAGTTTGTGCAAAACTTAGTAAAAACTTTAACTTAATATTTATTTAAATTAAATAAATTTTAACTATAGTACATATTTCATTTTTTGATAACATCTATTGATCGAACCAATGTACTACTGGTAAATATTTGTTAACATTCAATGTTTATGGATCAGCATGAAGCATCACTTCCTGGACGATCACTATTCACTAAAAAGTTATTATCAAAAAAATTTCACTAAATATTTCATTTAATATTATTAACAAGATTAACATTTCTCATTATTTAAAACCATGCTTTAATTCTATAAAACTGTACAATTATAAACTTTTGTTTTGTAAGCAAAGGGGGATATGGAAGTAACTGACCTTGCAGCTTTGCATGGAAAGTCGAAAACCTAGAGTAGTGATGTGGAATAGGGTAACCAATGGTGTTGAAAGTAAAGCCTTAAACACAATGAAAAGCACAGGGCCCCTATTCTGTACATGCTAATGACGATTGTCTATGTTGTTACGCATTTTTTTTATTATAAGAAAAGTTGCGCAATGGCATCGACAATAGTCGGTAGCGTGTATAGAATAGGAGCCACCAGAAACAGGGAATAATGAATCCAATTAGAGTTCAAAGGTGTCAATTTCATAGATAACCTACATTATTACAAATTACTACTACAGAAATGTATGGGACAAAAATGTGAAACAGGCAATAGGAACAAATTTTTCAACGTGTTGGATTTCTATGCTTATTGTTTGATCTCTCTTGAGATTATGTTTATTCGCAAATGTAGTTTCAGCGTATACACATATGATTTCAGCAATTTTAAATGTCAGTTTTAAGCAATTAAATATTATGATATTTAATCACGATTACTGCTAAAAAAGAATATTAAACGTGGACAAGATAGAGAATATTTTGATAGACGACGTGGAAGTAGTCCAATAATAGAAATATATTTAATATGTTGAAAAATTTATTCGTATGCTTGTTTCACATTTTTATCCAGTAAAAAATTTTTCATATAAAAACACATAAATACTATAAATATATATAAAAATATATAATTATACATAATTATTTATAATGATATGCGTAATATGCTTATAAATATCCGTATACATATGTTTCTTTCCTTTGTAAAATTATTATTTAATATATACAAGAAAAATGATAATAAATAAATAGAAAATAAAAAATAATTAAAAGAATAATTTTTGCAGTTTTTTTTTACAAAAAATAAAATTAAATAATTGAGAAAAATTTGCCGATATATAATAATATTTATATATAATAACTGAAAATATACATATGTAAATATAGATGAACAATTTTTTCTGATTTAAAAAATTTGATTTTTTATAAAAAAACAATGAAAAAATTACCTTTTTAATTAGTTTTTATTATTATTATTATTATTATTTTTCTAACAATAATTTTACAAAAGGAAAAAACATATATGGATATGTATGGACATATTACACGTATAATTATAAATAATTATATATTTTTACATGTGTATTTATACATATATGTCCCAATATGTAAAATGTTATATATAGGACATCGAATGTCTTATGCATTTTTGTAGTAGTAATTTGTATTAATGTAGGTTATATATGGAATTAATATTTCTGAGCTCTGATTGAATGGTCCATTATTCATTGTTCCCTGTTTCTATTACCGGTGCTTTTCATTGTATTTAAGGCTTAAATAGTTATTACTTTGCAACAAATAGACCAAACAAAATGAATAAAATACCATTTTATAGAGGAAACT